TGTCTATGAGAATGTGTACACATGTATGTGTACATAAGTGTTCGTGGGATGGGCTTTGGAGTGATATATTTGTGTGCATGTATGTGTGATCTCAGACATATTATAGTGATAGCAGATAACTGTGTACATTGTTGTGTGCGTATTTGTAGTACATGGGATTGTGTGTGATTTTTATGCATGCAAGTGTATGTATAATGATGTATGAGTAAGGTGAGTGTGTTTAAACGTATAAATATTTGTGAAAATACTTATATATGTGTATGCAAACAATTTCTGCGTTTGTTAGGCTTTCAGTGCCAAATGTAAAAGACGGATAAATAAACAAAAATGAAAGCAGTGTAATATTTAACATAGTTATGATGGTGGTGGACAAATTAACCAACATTTGGGTATTCATCTGCAATAATAAAACACTCTCAAATACTTTTAAACAGCTAAATAAGTAAAAAAACAACTTGTTCTCAGTATATTTTCATAGTGTAACATAAAAGGATTTCCAAAATTCATGTTAATTAGCCTCTCGGAGGTGGCGGAACTGTGAGGCAGCTTGGTGGCGTCTAGCTGACCTACGGTCCAGGCTGTCTTGGTGGATGTAATTACTGGACGCAGTTTTCTGTGTGTGTCACCTCCAGTAATTCCACCCACCTGGACAGTCTCTACCGTAGACCAGCTAGACAAGACCAAGTTTCCATGCAGCGAGGTCACTGAAGGTGGCAACCGCTGACTCTGGGGAAGTGGGGAAGGGAGTCCACCTGAGGTGACACTAGTGGACTCCTGGAGACACTGATCCGGGGAAGGCACCGCTGACTCTGGGGAAGTGGGGAAGTGAGTCCACCTGAGGTGACACTAGGGGACTCCTGGAGACACTGATCCGGGGAAGGCACCGCTGACTCTGGGGAAGTGGGGAAGGGAGTCCACCTGAGGTGACACTAGTGGACTCCTGGAGACACTGATCCGGGGAAGGCACCGCTGACTCTGGGGAAGTGGGGAAGGGAGTCCACCTGAGGTGACACTAGTGGACTCCTGGAGACACTGATCCGGGGAAGGCACCGCTGACTCTGGGGAAGTGGGGAAGGGAGTCCACCTGAGGTGACACTAGTGGACTCCTGGAGACACTGATCCGGGGAAGGCACGCTGACTCTGGGGAAGTGGGGAAGGGAGTCCACTCAGGTGACACAAGTGGACTCCTGGAGACACTGATCCGGGGAAGGCACCGCCGACCTTAGGTAAGTGGGGAAGGGAAGACATCCGGAGCGAGCGGATGGATTCCTGGATACATGAACTTGAGGAAGGTTGTTGTTGAGGCTGACCTTGGGTAAGTGGGGAAGGGGAGACATCCGGAGCGAGCGGATGGATTCCTGGATACATGAACTTGAGGAAGGTTGGTGTTGAGGCTGACCTTGGGTAAGTGGGGAAGGGAGACATCCGGAGCGAGCGGATGGATTCCTGGATACATGAACCTGAGCAAGGCAAGAATACATGCAGTTGAGGCTGACCTTGGGTAAGTGGGGAAGGGAAGATATCCGGCGGTAGACGGAAGGATTCCTGGATACATGATCCTGCGGACGACAAGAATACCGCTGACCTTGGGGAAGTGGGGAAGGGAGTTCACCTGAGGTGACATAAGTGGATTCCTGGAGACACTGATCCGGGGAAGGCACCGCCGACCTTAGGGAAATGGGGAAGGGAAGACATCCGGAGCGAGCGGATGGATTCCTGGATACATGAACTTGAGGAAGGTTGTTGTTGAGGCTGACCTTGGGTAAGTGGGGAAGGGGAGACATCCGGAGCGAGCGGATTGATTCCTGGATACATGAACCTGAGCAAGGCAAGAATACATGCAGTTGAGGCTGACCTTGGGTAAGTGGGGAAGGGGAGACATCCGGAGCGAGCGGATGGATTCCTGGATACATGAACCTGAGCAAGGCAAGAATACATGCAGTTGAGGCTGACCTTGGGTAAGTGGGGAAGGGAAGATATCCGGCGGTAGACGGAAGGATTCCTGGATACATGATCCTGGGAATGGCAAGAATACCGCTGACCTTGGGGAAGTGGGAAAGGGAGTCCACTCAGGTGACATAAGTGGACTCATGGAGACACTGATCCGGGGAAGGCACCGCCGACCTTAGGGAAATGGGGAAGGGAAGACACCCGGGAGCGAACGGATGGATTCCTGGATACATGAACGTCGGGAAGGTTGTCGTTGAGGCTGACCTTGGGTAAGTGGGGAAGGGGAGACATCCGGGAGCGAACGGATGGATTCCTGGATACATGAACCTGGGGATGGCAAGAATACATGCAGTTGAGGCTGACCTTGGGTAAGTGAGGAAGGGGAGACATCTGGGAGCGAACGGATGGATCCCTGGATACATGAACCTTGGCAAGGCAAGAATACATGCAGTTGAGGCTGACCTTGGGTAAGTAGGGAAGGGAAGATATCCGGCGGTAGACGGAAGGATTCCTGGATACATGAACCTGGGGACAGCAAGAAAACAGGTTGGTGAGGCTGACCTTAGGGAAGTGAGGAAGGGAAAACATCCGGAGGCAGACAGATGGATTCCTGGATACATGAACCTGGGGAAGGCTGAGGCTGGAAGGCAGAGAGAGAAAGAGAGGCGAGGCTGACCTTAGGGAAATGAGGAAGGGGAGACATCCGGGGGCCCACGGATGAATTCCTGGACACATGAACCTGGGGAAGGCGAGGGGGGGGGGACCTTAAAGACGAACCACTGGCCTCCACGTGGCAAGGTCTGGTAACTCAGAGATAACTCTGAGGCTGACAGTGGTCGCAAATATATTATAATTCATTATAATATATTATTATTATTATTATTATGTTATTATTATTATGTTATTATTATTAATTATTATTGTTATTATTCATGATTTGGATTCAAAAGCGTCAACCAGCCTCCCTGACAGTAGCATCGGTGATGTTATTCCCACTCCAGCCTCCCTGACAGTAGCACCGGTGGTGTTATTCCCACTCCAGCCTCCCTGACAGTAGCATCGGTGGTGTTATTCCCACTCCAGCCTCCCTGACAGTAGCATCAGTGGTGTTATTCCCACTCCAGCCTCCCTGACAGTAGCATCGGTGGTGTTATTCCCACTCCAGCCTCCCTGACAGTAGCATCGGTGGTGTTATTCCCACTCCAGCCTCCCTGACAGTAGCATCGGTGGTGTTATTCCCACTCCAGCCTCCCTGACAGTAGCATCAGTGGTGTTATTCCCACTCCAGCCTCCCTGACAGTAGCATCGGTGGTGTTATTCCCACTCCAGCTTCCCTGACAGTAGCATTGGTGGTGTTATTCCCACTCTAGCTTCCCTGACAGTAGCATTGGTGGTGTTATTCCCACTCCAGCCTCCCTGACAGTAGCATCGGTGGTGTTATTCCCACTCCAGCCTCCCTGACAGTAGCATTGGTGGTGTTATTCCCACTCCAGCCTCACTGACAGTAGCATCGGTGGTGTTATTCCCACTCCAGCCTCCCTGACAGTAGCATCAGTGGTGTTATTCCCACTCCAGCCTCCCTGACAGTAGCATCGGTGGTGTTATTCCCACTCAGCCTCCCTGACAGTAGCATCAGTGGTGTTATTCCCACTCCAGCTTCCCTGACAGTAGCATCGGTGGTGTTATTCCCACTCCAGCCTCACTGACAGTAGCATCGGTGGTGTTATTCCCACTCCAGCCTCCCTGACAGTAGCATCAGTGGTGTTATTCCCACTCCAGCCTCCCTGACAGTAGCATCGGTGGTGTTATTCCCACTCCAGCCTCCCTGACAGTAGCATCAGTGGTGTTATTCCCACTCCAGCCTCCCTGACAGTAGCATCGGTGGTGTTATTCCACTCCAGCCCTCCCTGACAGTAGCATCAGTGGTGTTATTCCCACTCCAGCTTCCCTGACAGTAGCATTGGTGGTGTTATTCCCACTCCAGCCTCCCTGACAGTAGCATCGGTGGTGTTATTCCCACTCCAGCCTCCCTGACAGTAGCATCGGTGGTGTTATTCCCACTCCAGCTTCCCTGACAGTAGCATCAGTGGTGTTATTCCCACTCCAGCTTCCCTGACAGTAGCATTGGTGGTGTTATTCCCACTCCAGCCTCCCTGACAGTAGCATCGGTGGTGTTATTCCCACTCCAGCCTCCCTGACAGTAGCATGGTGGTGTTATTCCCACTCCAGCCTCCCTGACAGAAGCATCGGTGGTGTTATTCCCACTCCAGCCTCCCTGACAGAAGCATCGGTGGTGTTATTCCCACTCCAGCCTCCCTGACAGAAGCATCGGTGGTGTTATTCCCACTCCAGCCTCCCTGACAGTAGCATCGGTGGTGTTATTCCCACTCCAGCCTCCCTGACAGAAGCATCGGTGGTGTTATTCCCACTCCAGCCTCCCTGACAGAAGCATCGGTGGTGTTATTCCCACTCCAGCCTCCCTGACAGTAGCATCGGTGGTGTTATTCCCACTCCAGCCTCACTGACAGTAGCATCGGTGGTGTTATTCCCACTCCAGCCTCACTGACAGTAGCATCGGTGGTGTTATTCCCACTCCAGCCTCACTGACAGTAGCATCGGTGGTGTTATTCCCACTCCAGCCTCCCTGACAGTAACCATTGTGGTGTTATTCCCACTCCAGCCTCCCTGACAGTAGCATTGGTGGTGTTATTCCCACTCCAGCCTCCCTGACAGTAGCATCGGTGGTGTTATTCCCACTCCAGCCTCCCTGACAGTAGCATCGGTGGTGTTATTCCCACTCCAGCCTCCCTGACAGTAACCATGGTGGTGTTATTCCCACTCCAGCCTCCCTGACAGTAACCATGGTGGTGTTATTCCCACTCCAGCCTCCCTGACAGTAACCATGGTGGTGTTATTCCCACTCCAGCCTCCATAACCGTACCATCTTTGGTGTTATTCCCACTCCAGCCTCCCTAACAGTAGCATCGGTGGTGTTATTCCCACTCCAGCCTCCCTGACAGTAGCATCGGTGGTGTTATTCCCACTCCAGCCTCCCTAACAGCAGCATTGGTGGTGTTATTCCCACTCCAGCCTCCCTAACAGTAGCATCGGTGGTGTTATTCCCACTCCAGCCTCCCTGACAGTAGCCATGGTGGTGTTATTCCCACTCCAGCCTCCCTGACAGTAACCATGGTGGGGTTATTCCCACTCCAGCCTCCCTGACAGTAGCCATGGTGGTGTTATTCCCACTCCAGCCTCCCTGACAGTAACCATTGTGGTGTTATTCCCACTCCAGCCTCCCTGACAGTAACCATTGTGGTGTTATTCCCACTCCAGCCTCCCTGACAGTAACCATGGTGGTGTTATTCCCACTCCAGCCTCCCTGACAGTAACCATGGTGGTGTTATTCCCACTCCAGCCTCCCTGACAGTAACCATGGTGGTGTTATTCCCACTCCAGCCTCCCTGACAGTAACCATGGTGGTGTTATTCCCACTCCAGCCTCCCTGACAGTAACCATGGTGGTGTTATTCCCACTCCAGCCTCCCTGACAGTAACCATGGTGGGGATATTCCTACTCGGGAATAACACGTCAGTGGCATCTGCTGGTGCCACCACGTTTTCATAATATGAAAAAAATCCCAAAAGGAAATACTTTCATCATCATTCAACACTTTCACCTCACTCACACATAATCACTGTCTTTGCAGAGGCGCTCAGACACAACAGTTTAGAAGCATATATGAAGTAATATTAGATACTCTTCCAAACTGCCAATATCCCAATATCCGAATGGGTGAAACTGTCTGTTAACAAGACCTCGTGTAAAATTGAGTCCTTTTTATATTTCTCTGTGCGTTTAAAGATATATTTTTTTCATTTATGTTAATGTAAAAACTAATAACTTTGTTCTAAAAGAACCTTAGAAACTTACCTAACCTTTAATTTAATTTAATTTGATTTAGCCTAATTTAACTAAAATGTTTAGATAAGTTTACAATAATTTAATAATAAACAAACACAATGAAATACATTTTTTTTCCGTTAGGTTCAGAATGATTTTTGCGAAATTTCTGCATACACAAACTTTCACTTGTGTATGTGTTAGTATGCTGTTATTGGAAGTTACTGTACTTTTCTTTTGTTACCTATTACAACCCAGGAGTCCCAAAGGCCTGTTATCCTGTGTGTAAAGGCAGCGAAATAAACACAACAGAAAAGCTTTTGACTTGCATTATCCTTCATCAATTTAGAACAGGTTGTGACAACACACAGTCGTACTGGCCAGGTTGTGACTAGACACAGTCGTACTGGCCAGGTTGTGACAACACACAGTCGTACTGGCCAGGTTGTGACAACACACAGTCGTACTGGCCAGGTTGTGACAACACACAGTCGTACTGGCCAGGTTGTGACAACACACAGTCGTACTGGGAAGGTTGTGACTACACACAGTCGTACTGGCCAGGTTGTGACAACACACAGTCGTACTGGCCAGGTTGTGACAACACACAGCCGCACTGGCCAGGTTGTGGCAACTCGCATTCGTACTGGCAAGCTTGTGACAACACACAGTCGAACTGGCCAGGTTGTGGCAACACGCATTCGTACTGGCAAGCTTGTGATAACACACAGTCGTACTGGCCAGGTTGTGACAACACACAGTCGTACTGGCCAGGTTGTGGCAACACACAGTCGTACTGGCCAGGTTGTGGCAACACACAGTCGTACTGGCCAGGTTGTGACAACACACAGTCGTACTGGCCAGGTTGTGACAACACATAGTCGAACTGGCAAGGTTGTGACAACACACAGTCGTACTGGCCAGGTTGTGGCAATACACAGTCGTACTGGCCAGGTTGTGGCAACACAGTCGTACTGGTCAGGTTGTGATAACACACAGTTGTACTGGCCAGGTTGTGACAACACACAGTCGTACTGGCTAGGTTGTGAAAACACACAGTTGTACTGGCCAGGTTGTGACAACACACAGTCGTACTGGGCAGGTTGTGACTACACACACCTTGGGTGTATGTCCACCTCTCGCTGCATACACACTAAGAAACATACATTTCGGTGTGCATACACTTACTCTGACTTTTTTCATACTGTTCACTGTCATTACTTTCTTAAT